TTCGGTTTTGTAGTTCCTGAGTAAATCAGTAAAATAAATTTACGCTTTCATTTATTTTCTTGAATCACCCTGTATATGTAAATCCAAAAAATATGAATGGAGTGATAGATCACAAGTACAGACTGATCATATTTTGTACATTTTAGATATGATTTATTCGGCAAATTTTCGAGCTGACGTCATCAAGTTTTTGGAGGGGATAAGCAAATATATTTTGACTAAACATTTATTATGCTCTTTATAACCTTAAAATATCTGCAAGATGTCAGAGCATTCCGTTTTGTAGTTCCTGATTAAATCAATAAAATATATTTACGCATTCATTAATTTTTTTGAGTCACTATGTATATGCAAATCCAAAAAATATGAATGGAGTGATAAATGACAAGTACAGGCTCATCATATTTTGTACATTTTAGATATGATTTATTCGGCAAACTTTCGAGCTGACGTCATCAAGTTTTTGGAGGGGATAAGCAAATATATTTTCACTAAACATTTATTATGCTCTTTATGACCTTAAAACATCTGCAAGATTTCAGAGCATTCGGTTTTGTAATTCCTGATTAAATCAATAAAATATATGTCGGCGACGGTGATCATTGTGGCTGTGGCTTGTAGTACGACCCTGAGCGCCCAAAAATTCGTTTTTTTTTAATAAAGGCTCCGACATATATTTACGCATTCATTAATTTTTTTGAGTCACCCTGTATATGCAAATCCATCCAAAAAATGTGAATGGAGTGATAGATTACAAGTACAGACTCATCATATTTTGTACATTTTAGATATGATTTATTCCACAAACTTTTGAGCTGACGTCATCAAGTTTTTGGAGGGGATAAGCAAATATTTTTTGACTAAAGATTTATGATGCTCTTTATAGCCTTAAAACATCTGCAACATTTCAAAGCATTCTGGTTAGCAGATTAAAAATTAAATTTCAAAATGTTGTTTTATAATTTTGATTTTTTTTCCAAAAATCTGGACGTTTCGGGTGAAAAGTCGATTCAGAGTTGTAAACTACATGTGTAGGACTATGTTATTTTATACAATTGAAAACCCATTTACTATGTACAATTTTGAAGTGACGTCATCGCATTAGTGGTGGGGATGATTAGACAAATTTTGGTTAGCGTTTTACCATCTACATGATATTCTTAATATAAGTACAAAATTTCACAACAATCGGTCGAGTACTTTCGGAGATTATCTGTCTAATAAAAATCCGGGACGGCAGACGGACAGACGGACAGACGGACAGACGGACGGACAGACGGACAGACGGACAGACGGACAGACGGACAGACAGACGGAAATGGGAGACCTATTTCTTCGTCTTCTAGTGGTCATGAAAGATCGAGAAAACGTAAAAGTAGAGAGTCGGCCGACGGACTCGATTACAATACTTTGCTTACGCTCGGGAAGTAAAAATCATCACAATTGAGATAGTGCGGGTGGGCGGGGCTAAATTTTGCCTTGTTTTCTTAATATGTGTAGACTTATTTCGACAATAAGAAACTTAAAGCAATTATGGTTTCAGAGCCGGGTTTTAGAATAATCCGGTTTGAAAACCAAATGTTTTTAATCCAAAAAATTGACACAGGTACTTGCATAAGTTAATTCTGGAAAACTGGTAAGAGTTTTCGAAGAAATGAGGTCGAAATTCAGAAGAAAATATTTATAAGCAATTTCAAAGTCGGTCGAGAAAATCTCGAAATTTTTATAAGTGGGGAGTATTGAAAATTTGGAGTTTTGAAAAAGTTGGGGTATATAAATATTTGGCGTGAAAGTCATTTTTTTTAATTCTATATATTGGTAATGGTAGGAGTTTTCGAAGAAATTAAACCGAAAATAACTTCTGTAGGTCGAACTCTATCTTTATGTAATTTTCAAAAATCGTCGAAAAAAGTCGAAATTTTCATGAAAAAGTTGTCTGAAAGTCTACAAAAATTCCGGAATAAAAAAAGGTTTGTTTATGGTTACGGTTTTAGAAATATTCGATTTGAAATTAATTTTTCTTTTAATCCTAAAAATTGCCATAATTGAAAAAATGATCCCGAAAATTCTGGAATTCCAAATCTATCAAAAACTATATTTGTTGAGAGGCGAGGGAAGTGTTGTGTAATTAACCTTAACCTTAAGGAGGTATTCTAATAGGGTCCATGCGACGAAAATCTACTTTCGTGTTTTCTCAACGTCTTATAACATCTAGAATCTGAAAAATAGGGACCCTTTTTGAAATTAAATTGGTTCTAATATATGTTACACTTTTTGACAGAATTGACCCTTCGTGGATCAGTAATTTCTACAAAAATAATCAGGCCACCACTCAAATCATTCGAACCTGTATTGTTCAACATCGACTAATCAGTGGTGTATAGTTTAGTATTTATTGTGTAACCGTTTTGGAAACCTAGGCGTTATATGGAAGACAGTCACAAAATTGCGGAAAGGAGTACGTTGTTCACTAGAATTTAGATAATCTTAACAACCAACGATCTGTTTTAGAAAAGCTGTAAAGATTTTAGTGGTGGAGAAAGACAAATAATCCGAATGTGTATAGAGTTTTATTTTTGCAAGATCAATTAATTAAATTGGGCAAAATGTTTTCTACATTATTATTTTCTATATTTTCTAAATTATTTTACTTAGAGTAGAAAAATTGTACCGTAGAAAATTTTGGTGATAGTTATTCTTTCAACATGACTAAATACATTTATAAAATGATATCATATAAAAAATAGGTACGTTTTTTGTCACTGTTAAGAGTACTAACGGCACAATTAATTGACACTATTATTTTAAATTAATATACAATAATACTGGATCTAGGTAGATAAAAACAAAACTAGATGCTAACAAAAAACAAAAGTGGTTTGAATTTTTGTAGTTTAAGCCGTGAACAAACATAAATCAAGAATTTTCATTTGCATATTTATGAAATTACTCGTACAAGTTAAATGTATATTAATTTTAATTGAATCTATCACGCTATTTCTGCTGTATTATGATTATGACACGACAGAGATCTAATCTTATAATCACCGGAATGTTGCATTACTTAATACACTAGTTACTAATAAGCACACATTATTAAAACTGGACTTATATAAACAAAATGGTTCTTACTTTTCATTTTATATTCTTACACAGAATTGAATTTATTGCTTACGCCACACAACGGTGTTTTGAGATACGATTCTCACATCGTTTTTGCGACATATTAGATTATAAGAAAATGTACCAGGAAATCGATGCAGTTATTGTCCGTGTGAACTGCGTATTGAAGAAAGAAGTCAAATATAACTAACTGTACTGTATGCGTATCTGCTTTTTGCTTATTTCGATAAATACTTATAACAAATGTGTTTCCCATCAGTTACAATTTCTTATAAAGATATCGTGTAAATAGAAAGCAAAAAATGGTAGCTATTTACATATATAAAACTGGAGATTTATTTCTTTCATAATAATAAGTTGATTCAAAGGAAGTGTAAGTAAAAAAATTGGAACGGTTTTCCACTTGGAAGCAGTAATATGAATAGGTGTATTAGATTCCATTTACACTACTGTATTGTGGGTTGCCCATACGTCACTGTTGCTTTGATGGTACAATAATATAGTGGGACTGTTATTAGTGCCTACGACTTTTCAAGGTTATTTGTATTTGTACAGTTGATTCTGCCACTATAAGTATATTATACGCAGTATATTAGTATTCTGTACTAGTTATAATTGTACAAAGTAACGTCACGAAAAATCGTCCGAATTCCTAAATATAACTACTAGCTATAATGCCTCAATTCAATCACTAACTATGAATAAAAAAAAATATTTCACTTACTTACTTTGTTGGTGCAGTGGCAGATTTTACTACAAGTTTCTTCCTCGAAGGTTCCATTAGAACTACAACAGAAATATTTCCTCGGTAGCATCTGGTCTCATTTCTTATTTACAACGTAAAGAAAATCTAAAAAATGCACAGCTATTAACGAATTTAATGAAGGAAGACACTAATAACCACTTTCACTCAGCTAATTGAAAAAATAATTGTAGGTTTAAAGACAAAACGTAAATTTCCTCAATTTTAATGAAATACAACAAAGAACTCCTCCAACAAAGAAAATCAATGTGGGCCGAAAAATTTAATAAGCAGCTTAACTCTAATCAACCCATTATTAATTTTATCCCAAAGAATAAATTTTTCATATTCCTCTGTCTTACACGTCAAGTACAATGTTTAATTTATAACATCTCGGTTTATTGACTGCCGTTCCCATTTCCAATCCGTAAAAACCGCGCCATTTTTGTCTATACACATATTAGGCGGCCCTCTTTCTCTATAAACAGAAGTGCACCTTCACTCGGGAAAAAACCCCGCTGCACTCGCCAAATTAATTTAAGACCATTATTGTCCTACTTTTTTCTGCGCCCATTTTGGGCTCCACCCCGTATATGGCACCATCGCACATGTCGACGAAATTAATTACTCGTTAAAAAGTTATTTGGCGAAATCGTCTTGTGCCGAAGCAAGAAACCGACAACAACAAGACGCAACTACAAGATTCCGAGAGTTTAAAAGTCTTAAGGCCCGGTAAGGAAGTACCAGCAAACCGGATCAAGGGAGCCGCTTCGATGATGACTTTTTTGCTGCACGATAAACTATTACTCTTTTTAAACGGGGCATTCAATTATTTTGCGTAAAAAGGCCCCAGATGTGCGCTCGGCAGAGTAATCAACATTCCGTTATGGCCTTTTGTATCGGACGTTTGCCTAATGGAATTCTTGGGCTGCACGAGATTCGCTTTCGATTGGAATAAATTAGTCGGGACGCAGATGGGCGAAATTTGATGGGCACTGGGCGATGGGTGGGTCGATGGAGGCCAGAGAGCATGCGTTTGGTGGGCGGACGAAACGGGCGCTGGAATATAAAGGGTTGGACCACTTGTTGAAGACTTTTTAAATTGGTTGTTTATTGAGAAGTTAATGGTGTTCAGAGGTATTATTAGAGGTTGTAGTAAACGTAGCACTTTGGCACGGTTGTGGCATGTGGCACCTAGCAAATATGTTCACCTGTGAGTCGGACTATAAAGTTACCATCCAAGTTTTCAAATTTGGGTATTGTTTTTTTAATTATTAAAATCTATTTGGTCGGTGCCCCAAATAATTTGTTGTCATTTATTTATATCCTGGCATCTGCCTCGACTAAATTTAGATACAAAAGTTAGATTTTTGGTAGTGACTCAAAAATTTTCTTAAATTCTTCAATTTCTTCTTAGTATGCTTTCGTCCGGTATAACATTTTTACATTTTTTTAAAATGTAAAGTCTCCAGATAAAACAGTCGTATTAAAAATATGCAACATAAATTTCAAAAAAGCATTTAGTTGAAATAAATTCAAGATAAACTTTTATCCATTGGTTTATTAAGGTTCTTCCAATTTTAGTTCATGCATTTGCAATAACTTCGTTTATTACTCATTTAATTGCAACCACCAGTTTAATCATCTATTTTTAAATTCTCTAAATTTAAACTGTTAATTTTTTCTTTTAGACATTTTTTTTTTTATTAGACAATAAATTTCGTTTTCTTTGTGCTGCAATAAATGTTGAAGTAGTTTCCTAAACACTCGATTTGCCTTAATAATTGTTTTTCAGTGGATTCTAAATTTTGAATTTTGATTTTTTTTCATTAATTATTTCTTCTGGACTGATAATTTTAAATAAAGCTTTATTTTTAAAATCTTGGCCTTTAAAATATTTAAGTACAAGGATCTTTTTTAACTTCAAGTCGTACATGAAATCTTCTTGATCAAAGTGTACCTTAAAAGATAATTTTAAATAATACATAGGAAATATTTTCATCGAAGGTATGTTATTTTCCAAAATCAGTTTTATCTTAGCAAATACTAGCCCCGCCCACCTGCCCCCTATTTTCTCGAAGTTCTGATAACCCCGCCTTAAAATGGCATGTGAAAACAAAATTGAAAGCCAGCGAAAAATTCAAAAATTCAAAAATTTAGCCTTATCTGTGATCGTCTAACCAAATGGAACCCTATATTGTGTTTGTTTTTTTTTTTTTGTGGCGGAATGCATTCAGATGCAAGTGGTGGACCACAAGGTTGGAAAAGTACCACTAAATAAAACACAAAATATATGGAGGACACAGAATAGTTTCTTCCTCCATTGACCAACAAAAGGAAAAAAAAAGCTGCGGCTAAGTTGTGCAGGTTGAAGGTCTCTTAGTTCTCAGCTACAAAAAAAAAAACTTGCCTAACTTTGAATGAACTAAAATTAAACGTTCTGAATCAATGCAAACATTTGAATATCACAAATTTAATAAAACAAAGAAATATCTGAATTAAAATCTGGAATTACAGGTAAACCTTCACGCAAAGTCGACTCGACACCCCGTCTGTGCCTCACACGGCCCCACGCATTTATTTTGGTTAAACTTAAAATTTCCTGAATTTGGCGATATCCAAGGGAAACTCATAATTTATGTCACTCTATCAACAATACAAAAAAGAATTTACATGATGTTAAATTATGCCACACTTTATCAACGATTCAAACAAAAAATTTACAGGATGTTAAATTATGCCATGATTCAAGTGGCTGGTTACTTAAAACAATTAGCTTTGAGAGTTTCGTGGACTGTCCCCAACTTATCCCAAACAAACGCATGATAAATAAACACAAAATGCATCCCGCGTCGCGACAACTACGGTCTCGCTGATGTCTAGTTGATAACTATTATTCCCCCCTACCCTCAGTCCACGATATTATGAATTCTACCGTACTTTCCACGGTCATTTTCCCAAAGTGGGACAACGTTAGCTTAAATTAACTGCTGTAAATGAACTATTAGCAATCTTGCATGAGGAATTAAGAAGTGTTATAATGTAACACTTCAGTATAAGCATCCAGAAACCTTATTTATAACTCGAAAAATGAAGGATGAGTGCTGACTACGTGAATCTCAAGAAATCTCTTAGCAAGTGCTTTATCTGAACAATTTCATGACTGTTAAATTGTGTTAGAACCAGTAACGATTAAAATCCTAACATGAACTGTGAATTGACAAACAATAAAACAAATTTTACTCAATGTGTCAGCATCGGTCGAAAATTCGCATATTTCTGCTTGGAAAAAACCGCAAGAAATAGCTACGCTTGTTGGGGAAACTGTGGCATCCTCATCAATACGATCAGTTTTCGTTAAAAAAAGGCTGTATGTTTCCTTTTTACTTCCCGAGCGTAAGCAAAGGAAGTATTGTAATCGAGTCCGACGGCCGACTCTCTACTTTTACGTTTTCTCGATCTTTCATGACCCCTAAAAGATGAAGAAATAGGTCTCTCATTTCCGTCTGTCTGTCCGTTTGTCTGTCCGTCTGTCTGTCCGTCTGTCCGTCTGTCTGCCGTCCCGGATTTTTATTAGACAGATAATCTCCGAAAGTACTAGACCGATTGTTACGAAATTTTGTACTTATATTAGGAATATACCGAGGAGGACCCGGGTGGGTTAGGTAGCATCGCGCTTGCCTGCCACACCTTGGGTCGTGGGTTCGATTCCCGCCCTGCTCTGGGTGTTGTGTATGTCCCCCGTTACCCTGTAACTGGGCCTCCGGCCTGTTGGGTAACGTTAATCAATAAAATAAAAAAAAAATAAATAAAAAAAATAAAAATATCATGTAGATGGTAAAACGCTAACCAAAATTTGTCTAATCATCCGCACCACTAATGCGATGACGTCACTTCAAAATTGTACATAGTAAATGGGTCTTAAATTGTATAAAATAACATAGTCCTACACATGTCGTTTACGACTCCGAATTGAGTTTTTACCCGAAACGTCCAGATTTTTGGAAAAAAAATCAAAATTATAAAACAACATTTTGCAATTTAATTTTGAATCTGCTAACCCGAATGTTTTGAAATGTTGCAAATGTTTTAAGGCTCTAAAGAGCATCATAAATCTCCAAAAACTTGATGCCGTCAGCTCAAAAGTTTGCCGAATAAATCCTATCTAAAATGTACAAAATATGATGCGTCTGTACTTATGATATATCACTCCATTCATATTTTTTGGATTTGCATATACAGGGTGACTCAAAAAAATTAATGAATGCGCAAAATTTATTTTATTGATTTACTCAGGAACTACAAAACCGAATGCTTTGAAATCTTGAAGATGTTTTAAAATTATCATAAGCATGGTAAATTTTTGATCAAAATGTATTTGGTCGTCCCTCCTAAAAAATTTATGACGCCACCACAAAATTTTGCTGAATAAATCCTATCTAAAATGTACAAAATATGGTGAGTCTCTTCTTGTGATTTATCATTTCATTCGATTTTTTTCGATTTGCATGTACAGGGTGACTGAAAAAAATTAATGAATGCGTCAATTTATTTTATTGATTTAATCAGGAATTACAGAACCGAATTTATTTGCTCAGCCCCCCTAAAAAAATTGATGACGTCACCCTAAAATTTGGTGAATAAATCCTATCTAAAATGTTAAAAATATGATGAGTCTGTACTTGTGATTTATCATTCCATTCATATTTTTGGATTTGCATATAAAGGTGACTCAAAAAAATTAATGAATGCGTGAATTTATTTTATTGATTTAATCAGGAATTACAAAACCGAATGCTTTGCAATCTTGGAGATATTTTAGAGTTATCATAAGCATGGTAAACTTTTGTTCAAAATGTATTTGTTCATCCCCCCTAAAAAAATTGATGACGTCACACCTAAATTTTGCTGAATAAGTCCTATCTAAAATGCAAAAAATATGATGAGTTTGTACTTGTGATTTATCATTACCATTCATATTTTTTAGATTTGCTTAAGAGGTGGCTCAAAAAAATTAATGAAGTCAATTTATTTTATTGATTAAATTAAAGGCAACACTTATTATTAGTAATACATTGCACCAACCCAATTTGGTAGACACAAAATTTTGTAAAGTAAAAACTCGGTTGTAACATAAGGGTAGCACGCTTATTTATATTTACTTTAACATTACAGACGTGCATTTGTTTTGTGCGCTGACTAGTTTCCGCGAATGTAGTATAGACATGTTTATAATCAACCAATTGTGAATTCCACCGTCAAAAGTTAAAATAAAACCCAATGTTTTATATAATAAGCGGAAGTCGAAGCAATAAAAAACTCTAGACGACCATCGATTTTGTTTACAGTTTCTCTGTTTGACTCTCACGTATGCTATGTTACGCTTGTCGTCTTAAATTAAGAATGCTTATACATAAACGATTTTCAGTTGCCTCTCCTAGTATACGCCGGCGCCGTATACGTGAGTAAATTGTTTCGTTATTTTATTGATTATTACAAATCAATATTCAAAACGACCCAATTCATTTTCCAGAAAATTTGGGAATACAATAATCTTATTCTTAGTATTACACTACATCCATCCCAACTGATATACGTGTCATTGCAAAAATGTTGATGACGTCATCGCATTTTTTTTTAAATTCCCACTACAAAAATATAATGAAAAAAAAACACAATAGGCATGCAGTCGTCAAGTTTCCGACAGCGAGGGAAGTACTGTCTAAACTCTTGAGACCAATTTTTTCTAACTACCAAATCAACTAAACTTAATCTAGCTTCCTTACCGCGTGGTTTCACTCACACCAAACAAACACAACAGTAAGCGTACTTCCCTACCAACCCTTTCACTAGATACTACCCAGAAATTTCCTAGGAGAGCTACCAACTACCAGAAAGAACTAAACTTGCACATGGTTGCCTATGTTTTCTTAATTAATTATTTTTTCAAATTTAAATTATTCAAATGCGATTTCGAGCCGTTGTTTTTTTTCCGGGCGAAATTTTAATTCAAATTTGGTCACCATAGAGTGTACGTCATTTTCCAAAATCAGTCTTTTCTTCACAATACTAGCCCGCCCACCCGCCCTCTATTTCTTTAGAAGGTATGTCATTTGCCAAAATCAGTCTTATCTTAGCAAATAGTAGAGTTTTTACCTACTTCAAAAAATGATGAATTTAAAAAATCGCAGTTAGGCGGATTGTTGCAATATCTTGAGAAAAATTTCAGGAAATCGTGTCGAGACGAACGTTCATGATAAATTTGACAATAAATATGAAATACATGGGTTTCTGACAACTTGTTGTCATTTCGTGTTCACACTCTTCACTTCACTTCAACAATATACGTCAAGGCACTAATTTTCAGGTATATTTATTTAGAAAAACCCAAATACGTCAATTAATTCAAAAAAGGATAATTCAGTAACACCAATTTATTATTAATCTTTCAGACTACAGTTCGTAATGGACACCTTCGACTGGAAACTGACGATCAAACGGAACATAATCATGCTAAAAATAGCCGGCTTGTGGCCTGCAGGTGACGAAACCTACAAATTCAACTTCTACACCCTCTACGCTATCGTTTCCATTTTGACCTTCGTCTACGGCCACAACTTCTTTCAATCGTTCAACATCATCTACATTCTAGACGATCTGGAGGCACTGACGGCCACCATATTTGTCTCACTTACCGAAATGCTCGCCATTTTGAAATCATATTACCTCATTCAAAATATGAAAATCCTCAAGCAACTAATGGTGACCCTCAATGGCGACATGTTTCAGCCGAAGAACTTGAGACAGAAAGACATAGTTGAACCCAGTTTGAACTCGTGGAAAATGGTCTACACTGTGTTTAGTTCGATGACTATGGGTGCCATTTTCTTCTGGGCGACGTTTCCATTCCTCGACAAGTCGGTACAGGAGCATCGACTGCCGTTTTTAGCTTGGTATCCGTGGAATTCCAAAATTTCGCCGTTCTATGAAATGACTTATGTTTATCAAATGGCCAGCGTGTGTTTTATTTGTATAGTTAATTTGAATATTGATACATTGATTGCTGCTTTGAATATGTACATAGGGGCACAGTGCGACATTTTGTGTGATGATTTGAGACACATTCATGAATTTGCTGATGTTAATGCTAGGTTGATAAGTTGTGTACAACATCACAAAGCTATCTTGAGATTTGTTGGAAATTCCAACCAGTTTTTCAACTGGATAGTTCTAGTCCAATTTTTCGTTAGTGCTATCTCTATTGGAATGACGATGTTTCAACTAACAGTGGTATGATACTAATCTTTGAATTTTAGTTCTTCGTATAAAACTTTTGCTTCAAGGTTGCTGCCTTCAGCAGTGAGTTTTATTCTTGTTTATTTTATGGAAATGCCGTCGTGGTTGAAATTTTCATGTACTGCTGGTTCGGTAATGAAGTGGAAATTAAGGTAAATATTTACTTGAATGTAGAGTTTTTGAAAGCTGAACTTTTTTGCAGAGCAGTAACATTCCTTATGCTGTTTTCGAGTCAGACTGGACCGATGCCTCTCTAGAAGTACAAAAGAATGTGGTATTTTTTATTTTGAGGTGTCAAAAGCCAATTAAAGTATCGGCTTTGAACTTGTTTTATCTTACGCTGGACACATTTGTGAAGGTAAGTAAGTTTATTGATTTAGTAACGGTTTTAGACTTTTTTTGCAGATAATGCGAACGTCCTGGTCGTATTTTGCTGTTTTACATCAAGTTAATGAACAGTAGCAAGTGATCTAATGTACAGTAATAACACAACTAGTTGTTAAATATGTTAATTAATATGTAAGTGTGTTTGTAATGATTTATTTATATAGTCTCTTATTCTTATTATTTATTTTAATTGTACTGCAATAAAACTAAAGTGAAATATTTTTTTTTATTAATTTCGATTTTCAAAAGATCACTGAAATAAATTTTTATTTAAAATAATTACCATCAATTTCATAATATAAACATATGTAAACATGTCAAATACTTTGAAAAAAAGAATAATGATGGATATTTAACAAAAAATTACTTATTAGATATATATATGACAGCATATGTCCTGCCAGCGAAAAAATTGATGAATATATTTTTATAATGTCTTATGGAAAACAAAAAATCTTTGTATGACCGAAAATATGACGGGTTTTAGCTTTCAGCCACAGGGATAATTTTTTCTTCTTCAAATCAGAAAATTTTTTTGGAACATCCTGTCGAAGTTCTAAAAAAATCTGAATATTTACGATTTTATTTATATTTAGGGATTATTTTGTACCTACACGTTTATCTCTATTGCCTCGTGGTTAACTTTGTAAGCACATTTTCTGGTTTTAATCAACTCTTTGCTTCCAGTATCTTGGAAAGTGACTACGACAGTAATTTATGTACTAAGAGTGCAAGATGATATTTTTGTGGTTGGAAGATGATGTTTTGAGTAACCCCAAATTAGCGATGAAGTTATTTTACGCTTTTAACGTATACACGATTTTTCTGTGAAACAGAAATTTAAAAAATAATATAATTTTTTTTAACTCAGTTCAGGGTGTGAATTTATCAAAATCTGAATTATTTCAGAAAATGTAAACAAAGTTATGAATGATAGTTCTGCTTGGTTTCACTGTGAGCGGAGCGGTCGAAGAAAAAATTGCCACTATATGACCACCAAGAGAGCAGCAATTTCCGGGGCCAAAAGAACATAAACCACCCGCCACTAGTTGAGCGTAACAAAATTTTCTTGCCATTGTTGCACTTAAAATTGGGTTTGATGTCACAGCTTTCAACAAAGGACGCGGAGTTCATTATCTTGGCAAAAATTTTTCCACTAAACCACCTTAATGGATTATTTCAAAGAGCATTTTTAGAGTTTTCAGTGCAAAATTTAGTTCTCGAAAGAAAAACATTTTTGAAAAAAAAATGGAAAATTACGCCTCGAGGATTTTTTCGAAGACGTTTAAACATACAGATTTGTCAAAAATGTAGACACAATTTTGATTTTAGAGGTCTCCAATACCTGATAAAATTGTCCTCTTAGATAACATTATAAATATTCGAAAAATCGAGAGTATGTCAGAATGATCTAAATATTTTGAAAAAATCTAGAAATTGAAACCATTCGTAATTTACGTATCGAATTTTAAAAATTCTTTAGTATTCCCAACGAAACAACACAATTTACGATATTTGTATAAGTTTTAGAAGTTTCGAAGACCGCTTAAACACCAACAATATAAAAAATAAATTTGGAGCAGGTCTTGGAATTATTTACCGTTTACTTATTATACATAACAGATTAATTATTTTCTGAGACTAAGGAGGCAACCGAATATACTTTGGAGCATGGATGGTTTCATCATTACTATCTTAAACGCAGTCAGGTTGACAGATAATTGACATTTTCTAACCTGTTATTTAGTTGTTGAATGTCATTTTAAATAACTTAGTTTTTGAAATTTTTAAAATTATGAAAATTCTGTAGAACTGAAAAGACTTTCAAACAATTCCCAAAGTTTTGACCTCAAAATTGTCATTTATGAACTCCGTTGCCAAGTTGCCCTTGATAGTAACTTTGATGTTCAACTTTTGCCATATTTAAAAGGGTTGTAGAAGAAAAGTGGAAGATTTAAGTTGATTACTAAAAAAATTCACCATTTTAGACATGTTTTAAGTTTCTCCTTGTCTAATAAGTCTACATATATTAAGAAAACAAGGCAAAGTGTAGCCCCGCCCACCCACCCCATCTCAATTGTAATGATTTTTTCTTATTCGTCGTGCGCCAAGAAGGCGGAGCTTAACTGCAAAATCTTTATTTCTCTACGAGAACTTAAAAACCTGTTTTTTTTGAGTATCGGGTTATTCAAAGAATACTAGGTATATTAAGAAAAAAATTAAAGCCAAAGATTAAGCCCCTCTCATACCTGCCCTGATCTAAATAGTAATGAAGTTTTCATTCCTTGGTAGACCTAGGGGCGGAGCCTAATTGCAAAATCTATATTTCCGTACAAAAATTTACCATTTTAAACGTGTTTTGGGTTTCTAAGAGTAAAAAAAATATCACAATTGAGATGGACTGGGTGGGCGGGGTTTATATTTTGCTTTTTTTTCTTAATATACTTAGTCTTCTTTGAAGAGCACGATATTCAAAAACATGTTTTTAAATTCTTGTAAAGAGATAAGTATTTTTCAGTTAAACTCAGACCCCTTGTTTCACGGCGAATAAAAAAAATCATCACAATTGAGATGGGGCGGGTGGGCGGTCTTACATTTTGCCTTTTTGTTTTTATATATGCAGACTTCTTTCACAACATGAAACTTAAAACAAAATCGATATTTCCTCGTCAAAATCTACCATTTTGAGCATTTTTTAAGTTTCTTGTTGTGAAAATATGGCTATGTATATTGAGAAAAAAAAAAGGCAAAATGTAATGATGTTGATAAGTGCATCACAAAAACGAGACGCATTCGAGATTTTTCAATTTTGAAGATTTTATTATGTGGAGTATAACATTTTTCGTACAATCGCATTTTTTGAAATCAAATCATAAAACATTCATATTGAATTAATTTGACACTTTTGACAAGATGAGTATGACACCTTCAAAACATGAAAAAGCTTTGGTGGGTTATTATGTTCAGAGAAGCTTAAGACTGAAGTCTACAGGAAGCTTTTGGACAGAGTGGTTAAAATCTATAAACATAAATAATGGTATTGAAATAGCACAATGCAAGAAATCTAGTAGCATTTCTAAAGAAGAAAAATATTGGGTATCATATAAAAAAATGTAAAGTTGTATTTACCTGAGAGTAGATTGAAGAAGTTGTTACAAAGATGACGGATCATGACATTATGGATTAAGGTGCAGTTGTAATTGCCAAGGTACCTGATACAAAGACACATATTAAAGGGTTTTTCTCAATTACTGATAAACTCAATGACAACTTCCTTTTCTCAACATTTTTCGATAATATTTACAGTTCAGATCCAAGGAGGCAAACTGTCTGTATCAATTTGGCAGAATATTTAAAACTCCAAGATCCAAAATTTTACATAGGACATGCTTTTAGACAGATGTCGGCAACTTTGTTGGTAAAAATACTCGAGCTTACGTTATAAAGTAAGAGTTGCAAATAACCTGAAGACAGTCGGGCAACTTTTTGAAAATCACTAAGAAATTAAGAAATTATGTATATTGAAAAATGAGTTTCATAAGACGTTATTAAGGGCCGGTTGCATAAACGCAAATCAAATTTAATCTCTGATTAACTCCATAGTAACGATTGTTATTATCATAGTTACAATTGTTCTTAATCAGAGATTAAATTTGATTTGCGTTTATGCAACCGGCCCTTAGAGTACGAATACCAACATTAGAAAAGAAGTCGTCAGATGTATTTTCTACTATTTTTTCTACTGCAGATTGTAGTAATTGAAGTTTAAATTTTCGCAATATATCAAATATGGGAAGTTACCCAAAGGAGCTCTCGATATGTTTAGGGCAAGCAGTGTCTAAATTTAAACTTGTCCGGATGCTCCAGAGTTCCACAGGTGCAATTAGATGAATCACGTGGTAGTAACCTGGACGGTGAAAGTAATTTTCAATAGTAATACCATGAGTAGGATGAATATTTGTGATAATTCAGATGATTTATTAGCTAATCGTAATACATACTTATACAGGGTGCCGCATCCAAGTCTGGATATAGGGAATTAACATGTGAATTGGTTTTTATTTTATAATATCTCCTCAGATCACTTTAAAGCTATTATTGAGTGATGCATTTGTGGAAGTCGAAGAGGGCTATCGGCCAGTATTTTTTTCAAATCGTTGTATCGCGCTCATTCACTGTAAAAAGGTTTTAAAAATCGTATTTTGAAATTCGCGCCCGATCCGATTTGTCACGAAATGTTCCGTCGCACCGTCGAAGTTCGGCGATCGCGTCTTTGGAATATCCATGCAAAATTCAAAAGTCAAAGTGAAATTAGAAATTATTCTCAGAAATCAACGAACAACTCAAACTGAATTATTTTATCCAGTGTGATGATTATTGTAGGTCAGTTTAAACGGAATTAATGCACAAACTGTACAAAATATTTTATTATATAAACCAATTCCCATGTTAATTCCCTATATCCAGACTTGGATGCGGCACCCTGTATATGTACAGCTTGTTCATTAATTCTTTTTTAATTTAACCAATTTGTAGATTTTTTTGTCCGCTGTTTGCTATAATTTTTTATATGATTTAACAAGATTGTGTGGATGGTAAAACGCTAACAAGAATTTGTCTGATCATCTGGTGGACAACAATGTGATGATGCCCCCTCATCACATCGGTAGTAAAAGTTATCAAAATTTTATAAAATAATATACTCCTGTATTCGTGGTTTATGAATCCACCTTGATTTTTGTATATATGCAGTTTTTTGTGTTTGTTCTTTCCTACAGTTTTATGATAAGTTGTTGAACGAACAGAAGAAATTTCGATATAAAAAATATTTTTTCGTGCCTCCACGGCACTCTTATCTCTTATCATTTAAATTTATTTGGGATCTTATTTTTATTTTTTTGAGGTTATGATATTCCCTTGTGGATGTACCTTTTTTTGGTTTGTTTATTCATAAAACGCTTTTTCACTCCACTTTTGTTTAAATTTGCGTTACTGGTTCCGGGCTTTCAAAACTTTTCATCAGACAGTCTACAACATTTAAAGAAAATTTCATGAAAGCTTCACTGGTCATAATTGTCCAATAGTTGTCTCTACTATTATTGCAAAAAATTGGTCTAAAGAGTTTAGACAGTACTTCCCTCGCTGTCGGAAACTTGACGACTGCATGCCTATTGTGTTTTTTTTCTCATTACATTTTTGTAGTGGGAATTTAAAAAAAAATTGTGATGACGTCATCAACATTTTTGCAAGGACACGTATATCAGTTGGGATAGATGTAGTGTAATACTAAGAATAAAATGATTGTATTCCCAAATTTTCGGGAAAATGAATTGGGTCGTTTTGAATATTGATTTCTTATAATCAATAAAATAACGAAACAATTTACTCACGTATACGGCGTCGGTGTGTAATATCTAGAGAGCGGATTTCTGTCGGGCTAGGCAAGGCCAAACTCGGTACGGCTCGTACGGGATGCGAATTCATTGCGGTTGTGGACTGCACTTCGTTTATTTGAGATTAGAATAACGCTGTTTCGTTGCACTCTGCTGTTAATTCCCGTTCTCATTTACTTAGCCGTTTGATTAATAAATCCTTAATTATATTTATGGAATTAGTACCGATTAAACGTGACGTAGCCCGACAAAAATCCGCTGTTTAGTAATATGAAAGGCAACTGAAAATCGTTTATGTATAAACATTCTTAATTTAAGATGACAAGCGTAACAGCGTACGTGAGAGTCAAACAGAGAAACTGTAGACAAAACGACCATCGGTTTTATTGCTTCGACTTCCGCTTATTATATAAAACATTGGGTTTTATTTTAATTCTTGACGGTGAAATTCACAATTGGTTGATTATAAACATGTCTATTTCACATTCGCGGAACCAAGTGAGCGCATAAAACAAATGCAGGTCTGTAATGTTAAAGTCGATGTAAATAAGCGTACTACCCTTATGTTTCAACCGAGTTTTTCATTTAACAAATTTTGTGTCTACCAAATTGGGTTGGTTGGGGTGTAATACTAATAATAAGTATTCCCTTTAATTTAATCAATAAAATAAATTGACTTCATTAATTTTTTTGAACCACCTCTTAAGAAAATCTAAAAAATATGAATGGAATGATAAATCACAAGTACAAACTCATCATATTTTTTGCATTTTAGATAGGATTTATTCAGCAAAATTTAAGGGTGACGCCATCAATTTTTTTAGGAGGGATGAACAAATACATTTTGAACAAAAGTTTACCATGCTTATAATAACTTTAAAATATTCCCAAGATTTCAAAGCATTCGGTTTTGTAATTCCTGATTAAATCGATAAAATAAATTCACGCCTTCATTAATTTTTTTGAGTCACCCTGCATATGCAAATCCAAAAATATGAATGGAATGATAAATCACAAGTACAGACTCATCATATTTTGTACATTTTAGATACGATTTATTCGGCAAACTTTTGAGCTGACGTCATCAGTTTTTTGTAGAAGATAACCAAATATATTTTGACTAAAAATTTATTATGCTCTTTATAACCTTAAAACATTTGCAAGATTTCAAAGCATTCGGTTTTGTAGTTCCTGATTAAATCAATAAAATAAATTTACGCATTCATTAATTTTTTTGAGTCACCCTGTATATGCAAATCGAAAAAATTTGAATGGAATGATAAATCACAAGAAGAGACTCACCATATTTTGTACATTTTAGATAGGAGTTATTCAGCAAAATTTTGTGGTGACGTCATAAATTTTTTTGGGGGGACGACCAAATACATTTTGATCAAAAATTTACCATGCTTATGATAATTTTAAAATATCTTCAAGATTTCGAAGCATTCGGTTTCGTAGTTCCTGAGTAAATCAGTAAAATAAATGTACGCTTTCATTTATTTTCTTGAATCACCCTGTACATGCAAATCCAAAAAATATGAATGGAGTGATAGATCACAAGTAGAGACTGATCATATTTTGTACATTTTAGATATAATAATAATAATAATAATAATAATAATAATCATTTATTTCCAACAGGCAAATTACACCCAATTACTGGAAACAATAAAATACTTAGTTCTAACAAAGAATGTAGGCATAAACTTAAAATTAAACGTATTTAACCAGAAAAAAATATATTAAAGTGAAAAAGAAACAAGGGAAGGTAAAAAAGAAAAAGTTATTTCTCAAAAACCGTAATAACAATTTCCGAAATTCTATAAATGGAGTCAAAATGAATATCACATACACTGTTTAAGCTATTAAATAAATCCATCATCAGCGCTATCGGTGACTTAACTAAAACATTAGTTCTTTTAGGTGCAGAATAAAAAGTACGTGAGTTCCTTGCGCACATGCGAGGCACTAAAAAACTAAGTTTATTTAAAAGATAAATGCAGTCTATTCGGTAGTTGACAAGATTGTAAAGGAAGCGAATAACACTTATAGCACGTCTGGTATTTAAGGTTGTTAAGTTAAATCTTGCCAAAAGAAGCGAATGATCAAGACCAATAGGGGGATAAACACCATCAACAACATAAGAAATGAATTTAAGGAATTTCCTTTGCAACGATTCAATGTGATCTTTATGAATATTGTATATAGGGTACCATATCAATGCACAGTATTCCAGCCTGGATCTAATCAATGATGCATAAAGGAGTAGCAGAACAGATGCATCGGTGAAATCTTTGCAATTCCTATAAATGAAACCATAAGTTTTGTAAGCCATGCCCAAAGTATCAGAAATGTGATCAGTGAAATAGAATTTTTGATCAAATAGAACACCGAGGTCCTTGATTGAATCAACACGATTTATAACCTCTCCATTTAACGAATAATCATGTAGTAATAATATAGATATGATTTATTCGGCAAATTTTCGAGCTGACGTCATCAAGTTTTTGGAGGGGATAAGCAAATATATTTTGACTAAACATTTATTATGCTCTTTATAACCTTAAAATATCTGCAAGATGTCAGAGCATTCGGTTTTGTAGTTCCTGATTAAATCAATAAAATATATTTACGCATTCATTAATTTTTTTGAGTCACTCTGTATATGCAAATCCAAAAAATATGAATGGAGTGATAAATGACAAGTACAGACTCATCATATTTTGTACATTTTAGATATGATTTATTCGGCAAACTTTCGAGCTGACGTCATTAAGTTTTTGGAGGGGATAAGCAAATATATTTTGACTAAACATTTATTATGCTCTTTATAACCTTAAAACATCTGCAAGATTTCAAAGCATTCGGTTTTGTAGTTTCTGAGTAAATCAGTAAAATAAATTTACGCATTCATTAATTTTTTTGAGTCATCCTGTATACGCAAATCCAAAAAATATGAATGCAGTGATAGATCACAAGTACAGACTCATCATATTTTGTACATTTTGGATATGATTTATTCCACAAACTTTTGAGCTGACGTCATCAAGTTTTTGGAGGGGATAAGCAAAGATTTTTTCACTAAAGATTTATGATGCTCTTTATAGCCTTAAAACATCTGCAACATTTCAAATCATTCTGGTTAGCAGATTAAAAATTAAATTTCAAAATGTTGTTTTATAATTTTGATTTTTTTTCCAAAAATCTGGACGTTTCGGGTGAAAAGTCAATTCAGAGTTGTAAACTACATATGTAGGACTATGTTATTTTATACAATTAAAAACCCATTTACTATGTACAATTTTGAAGTGACGTCATCGCATTAGTGGTGGGGATGATTAGACAAATTTTGGTTAGCGTTTTACCATCTACATGATATTCTTAATATAAGTACAAAATTTCACAACAATCGGTCGAGTACTTTCGGGGATTATCTGTCTAATAAAAATCCGGGACGGCAGACGGACAGACGGACAGACGGACGGACAGACGGACAGACAGACGGAAATGGGAGACCTATTTCTTCGTCTTTTAGGGGTCATGAAAGATCGAGAAAACGTAAAAGTAGAGAGTCGGCCGACGGACTCGATTACAATACTTCCTTTGCTTACGCTCGGGAAGTAAAAACTGATCGATGCAGATTACAGATTAAAATTAAAATTACTGATCCCCAACTGGGGTGGTTACCATGTCAAATTAAAACTTTTTATTCCCCAAACGATTGTTCATGTTTTCTTGACGTTTCATTAATTGGCGAACTTAAAAATTAGATCACCAGTTTCGGTTCGTTTGTCGTTTGCGGTCTGTTGGCAATTATATAGATAATTTCCAAAACCACTGAACTGATTATTGTGATAATTCAGAATTTTAAACAATATCATGTAGATGGTAAAACGGTAACAAAAATTATTTGTCTGTGCATAATCCTTTATTTTTGTAGCTGTAATTTATCAATCTATCCTTATTTTTAGCTATAATTAATGCAACTTGGAAAGTACGAAAATGAATATGCTAATCAAAATTCACCTGTTCATTCCTTCCAAATACTTAATGACGTCATCTCAAAATTTTGTTACGTAAATCGCACTTGAAATTTACAATATGAGATTTATCTGTGTTTCTGGTTTAATAAAGAATCCATATTTTTCTAAATTGTTTATACAGGATGCCTCAAAAAATTTGTGAATGAAGCAATTAATTTTATTTTTGAATTTCGCAACTGTTTATTCACTTTTCCTGACATGCACGGTATTGTTATTATCACAGGAAAATTGATTACGTCACTTTAATATACAAAGTGAGTTACTAAGAGCACGCTCTTCGATATCTGAGTAAAGTTATTTTCAAATATACGGGACGTTCTGTTGTTCATACACATCACAAAACTTAGTTTTTTAATATATACCTGTATATTTTTGTACACTCTCAGTGGCTTTATCGTAGACTATAAAAACTTAGTCTATATTTTAAATTCATATCCGACATTGCCACAGTATCCCAATTTTGTTGAAACTTTTTGCAATCCAAGAAAATTTGCAATTACATTAGCTTTAAAAAACCCGTATTACAATAACTGTCTGTTTGTAATAATAAGAAGTGTACAATATAACGGATTTTTGAAAGAAGAGGTCTAAAATTATAATTTTTTTATGCAGTGAGAAGGATGATTTTAGAGTTTCCCTCAATAATAATTTTCATATAGGAACATTAATAAAATCATAGAATTAAAGTCTCAAAATGATGGATGCGCCGGGCAATTACGAGTGAATTTGTGTATCGCACTTCGTTTATTACAGCACATATGGTAAAGGGTAAGGACCACAAAAAAGAACTAGTTTTCTGTAGGTGTTAAGGAAATAACTAAAATATTATCTCAATTCAATCATCAACCAAAAAAAAAAAGTATAATCTACTTACTTATAGTGCAGTATTTAGTAGGCGTTACTAGAAACAAGCTTCTTTCTTGAAGGTTCTGTGACAACTACAACAAAAACATTTTCTTTTGATAGCGTCTGTTCTCATTTTTTATTTACAACATTAAGAAAATCTAAAAAATGCACAGTTATTAACGAATTTAATGAAGGAAGACACTAATAACCACTTTCATTCCGCTAATGGAAAAAATAATTGTAGGTTTGAAGATAAAACGTAATCCTCTATTTTAATGAAATACGACGAAAAATTTCCCAACAACGAAAATCAATGTGGAACGAAAAATTTAATAAGCAGCTTAACTATAATCATCCCATTATTTTATTCGAAAGGATAAATTTTTTATAAACCTTTGTCTTACACGTCAAGTATTAATGTTTAATTTATAACGTCTGGGTTTATTGACTGCCAGTCCCATTTCCAAACCGTAAAAACAGCGCCATTTTTGTCGGCTTTCTTTCTTTATAAACAGAAGTGCATCCTTACTAAACAAGAAACTTTTCTGCACTCGTCAGGTTATTTTAAAGACAAGCTATTTGGCGAAACTGTCTTGTAGTAAAGAACAACAACAAAATTCAATATTCCGAGAGTTGAAAATTCTTAAAGCCCAGCAAACCGGATCAAGGGAGCCACTTCGGTGCTTAATGGAATTTTTATGATGGGTGAGACTCGTTTTCAATTGAAGTAAATTAGTGGAAGAGACGAATGTGTGAAATTTGATGGGCATTGGGTGATGGGTGCTTCGACGTGGTGCTAGACGCATGCGGCGTTTGGTGGGGGGAGATTAGTAGGTCTGGAATATAAAAGGTTAGAGCTTTTGTTGAAGACCTTTTAAATTTGTTGTTGATTCAAAAGTTAGTGTTGTTCAGAGGTATTATTAAAATGTAGTCGTATTCATAGCATGTTGTGTTCCATTGGAAATCGGCTTGTGATTATACCATTCAAGTTTTTCAAATTTTAGTAAATTTTTCGACAAATCGGCAATATCTGGTTGGTATCCTCCGAATATCGATTGTTTCTTCTTTATAGAATCTAAGTATTCATTGTTTTTTAAGAATTTCTTGAGATCTTTACTCAAAATTTCAAAACTATGTAATTAAAATTAAAGGCAATTAGTTTAATTTCTACACAGTTAAAAATACAAATCCAACAAGCCACCCAAGTTTTTTTATTTTGTGGAACACCAGCGGTTAATAAGATTTGTAAAAAAAATATAGAAGTGTTTAATAAATAACCTGACACGAGAATTATTCAATGTTTTGCACAACACATAACAAAACAAACACTGTAATATTCATTTTTCAGGCTACAGGTTCCGATGGGTACCTTCGATTGGAAACTAACCATTAAAACAAACATAACCATGTTAAAAATAGTCGGCTTATGGCCTGTAGGTGACGAAACTTACACATTTAGCCTCTACACCCTCTACACTATCATATCTATATTTACATTTATCTACTGCCACAATTTCTTTCAAGTATGCAACATTTTCTTTATTCTGGATGATCTTGAAGCATTAACAGCCACGGTATTCGTCTTACTGACCGAACTTCTCTGCATCTTGAAAGCGTACTACATAATCCAAAACATGAAAATCCTCAAACAACTAATGGTGACTCTTAACAGCGAAATGTTTCAACCGAAAAACTTAAGACAGAGGGACATAGTAGAACCCAGTTTGAATTCGTGGAAAATGGTATATACCGTTTTTGGTTCGATGGCTTTCGGCACTCTTTTCTTTTGGGCGACTTTTCCGTTTCTCGATAAGTTGGTACAACAGCACAAACTACCATTTTTAGCTTGGTATCCGTGGGATACCAAAATTTCCCCGTTTTACGAAATCACTTATGTTTATCAAATGGCGAGTATCTCTTTTATTTGCTTGGTTAATTTGAACGTTGATACGTTGATTGCTGCTTTGAACATGTATACAGGGGCACAGTGCGACATTTTGTGCGATGATTTGAGACACATTCATGAATTTGCTGATGTCAATGCGAGGTTGATAAGTTGTGTGCAACATCACAAAGCGATTTTAAAGTAAAGGTGACGTAACTTGAGTGGTGGATATTAGGAATAGTTTTTTTTTTAGATTTGCTGCAAATTCGAACCAGTTCTTTAGCTGGATAGTTCTAGTTCAATTTTTCGTCAGCGCAGTTTCTATTGGTATGACAATGTTTCAACTAACTGTGGTATGTAGCAATACTGTTTTAAATTTGTATTTGTTTAACTGAAATTTTTAACTTTCAGGTTGCTGCCTTCAGTAGTCAGTTTTATTCTTCCATATTTTATGCAAATGCTGTCATAGTTGAAATTTTCATGTACTGCTGGTTTGGGAATGAAGTCGAAATTAAGGTATACACTTAAATGTCGAGATTTTTTAAAACTGATGAGAGTCGGTGCATTTTTTTGCAGAGTAGTAATATTCCTTACGCTGTTTTCGAGTCAGACTGGACCGAGGCTTCTTTAGAAGTACAAAAGAATATGGTGTTTTTTATTTTAAGGTGTCAAAAGCCAATTAAAATCTCGGCTTTGAATTTGTTTTATCTCACACTAGACACATTTGTGAGGGTAAGTATATAGGTTGTCGGTTTAGAAATAATTTTACACTTTTTTTGCAGATAATGCGAACATCGTGGTCGTATTTCGCTGTTTTGCATCAAGTTAGTGAAGAATAGCTACCGATATAACGTATAGCATAGCAGATAGTTGTTAAATTGTTTAATTTAATTAAATATGTTTCAATTAAAAATAGGTGTAAGAAATTATAGTGTATCTCGTGCCAGTGAAAAGTGTTTTTTTATACTTTACGACTTTTCAGTAATTAAGTATATCGAAATTTTTAGAAATTTTCAAAAATTCCATTTCGTACCGATTCTTTCGAAAATGTTGCTCCGTGACCATCAACACACTATATTTTTGGAATCAGCATGTCGAGATCTACGTCCCTGAATTTTCTTAGAATTTTTGGACAGCTTTTGTAAAAGTGAAATGTTTCCAATGGTTTTGTTCACATTTCGACCAATTTTTTACATTTCCGAAACCTAACTAAAAACATTTTCTTGTAGATTTTCAGCTCTACAACTCATTTCCTGCCTCGTTTCTTTGATAACTCCAACCGTTTTTCTAGTATTGTCCGTTGAAATATCGAATTTTTAGAAATTTTCAAAAATTCGCATTACGTACTAATTCTTTCGAAAATGTTGCTCCGTGACCATCAACACGCTATATTTTTGGAATCAGAATGTCGAGATCTACGTCCCGGAATTTTTTCAGAATTTTTAGACAACTTTTTTAGAAGTGGAATTTTTTCAATGGTCCCCCTTGTTCAAATTTCGGCCAATTTTTGACATTTTCGAAACTTAACTAAATACATTTTCTTGTGGATTTCAAACTCTATAACCCATTTTCGGTCTCATTTCTTTGATAACTACAACCGTTTTTCCAGTATTCTTCGTTGAAATATCGAAATTTTTAGAAATTTTCAAAAATTCGTATTTTGACTGATTCTTTCGAAAATGTTGCTCCGTGACCATCAACACACAACTTTTGTAAAGGTGAGATTTTTCCAAAAGGACCTTGTTCAAATTTCGGCCAATTTTTGACATTTTCGAAACTACACTACTTTATATGTTAAGAATGTACGCTATTTTGTGATTGGAAGAAAAAAATTTGCACAAGGCGTAAAGCGTGGGGAGAATAAAGTTGCTTTACGATTTAAATATATATACGATATTTTCTTTAATGCCAAAAATAATATAATACAAATTTCAAAACCGTTAACTTTTACATTACTAGAGTTTAACAGTAACGCAAAAGGTAAGAGTTGCAATATTTGGACGATATTACACCAATGGGACGTAATAATTGAAGTTTTTTCAAAATCAGGAAGGAGTTAAGAAACTGTAAATGAAAGGTGGTAAAGACTATTAAAAATCACCAGTTTAGCATGCAACAGAAAACTCAGCAACAAGCACCAAATTTACTTATATTTTTAGCAGTAAAATTTAATTACAATTTAAATATAATTTTGAATCTAAAGAATATTAAATTTTGATTATTACATCCTACTTGTTTTCACATACGAAATATTTCACTTTATTTTTGTTTCATTAAAACAAACTAAGTTAAATGATTTAATTAGGATTCATTCGAAAAATTTAGTTTCGTATGCAACAATAAATCCCTATTTGTTTAATTGATTTTAAAATATGCAATTAAATTACTGTAGATGGAAATAATAGATGTCTGATGCAATTTGTTTTCACTTTATCAACCTAAACTAGAAAGTGCAGACAAAACGCTACAAAAGTAATCGGACGTCAGAGTCTGCATTGATATATTAATACACATTTTATTTTCGTACAAGCCAATTATTTTGAAATCTTTGTTCTACTAAGTAGTTGAGTAACAGTAATTTACAGCAAAGTGGTGACAAACTACTTAAATTTGTAGCAGAGAGTTGAAGACTTGAATGGTTTCTTTTTGGAAAATAGTTTTTATAGGTAGGAAAGTTTATTATGTGTTTTTTTTGTCTTTTACCTCATGTATTGTACACAAAACTAGTTAGTTAGCTAATAAAATAACACAGAAGACCATAGCAAAACATTTTTGTAGAGCCACATTTTATCAAATGACTTATTATTTGATGGTGAGCGTCTATTAATAATTTATGTGGTTTAGTTTTATTTTTTTTTTCGTCGATAAAAGAACCGTAAGAATTATTATTTGTGAATGATTCAGCAGTGTAAAACATTGAGGTTTCTTTAAAATAATAATAAATATTAATTGTACTCTCATGCGTTTTATGATATTGACTCATATATTTTTTTTACATTCGGTATTCGTTTATTTATTTTTGGACCTAAGAAGGTGGCAGTTCTGATTAGCATTATTACTTGCCCAGGGTAACCTAAGGAAGTATTGTAATCGAGTCCATTGGGCTTCTGACTACTTTCATATTGTTGAGAAAGAAAAAGCTCTCCCGTTTCCGTCCTTGTGTCCGTCGTCTGCCTTCTGTGTCAATTGTTATTAGACAGATAAGCCCTGAAACCATCAGACCGAGTGCTGTCAAATTTAAAGGTATTTTAGGAATATCGTCTATATTATCGTCTCTATTGAATGTTGCCTAAATTTTATAAAATAAGATACTCCTGTGCTTGTGATTTATGAATCCGTGTTGAGTTTTAACTCTACACGTCCAGATTTTTGTTAAACAAAAATTATAACAACATTTTAGAATTTAACTAGAAAACCGACATCTCTGAAATATTGCAAACGTTTTAAAGTTATCCTTTTACAATTTTTCCGAAGAAATATTCTTCAAATTTAATAGTATAAACATACACCTGCTTGTATCCGTGTCGAATTTTGACCTTCGACCTCAAGATTTTTGGGAAAAAAATAAGGCATTAATCAAAGTTTGTCTTTTTAACGTCATTTTGCAATTTATGAAAGCCGAGTGTGCTAACAAAACGATAAAATTTTATTCTCTGATGTTTGTAGTCTGAATGTGCCAGTATTCGAATTTTTTCGAATCATCAACATAAACAGTCGAAGTTAAGTATTTTAAGCATCAAATTTTAAAATAAAAAAAAAAGCTGGAGGTGTTGGACTATACTTTAAAGGTGAGGGGAGTTCTGTCGAAATAACTTTCGACAATGTTTTGTTTGGGCTCGAATTCACAACTACTAGGAAGTACTTAATACAAAAATCACCATTTTTAAGAACTAAAATAAGTAGAGTTTTAAAAAACATAGAACATGTAGGTCGCACTGAAATATCATTTTCTGAAATGGTGTTTACTTTTATTAAAAACTCAATTAATTACATACTCCTCTACAAAACGATATCAAATTTTAAGCTGAAGGTTAGACTTTCAATTTAGATGTTGTAAAGATGTAAAATTTGTTAGTGAAATAGATTGATTTTTTGTTTATTTAAATGGTGTGTTTAAGCCGTTTTCAGTAAAATAGATTAAAGACGAGTTTTCAGGAAATTTCAGCTTTTCAATTAGCTATGCGTTGTTGCGTGTGTGTAAGTAATTTTCTTGTTAAAAAAGTCTTATAATACTTTCACGGCTTCCCCACTAAATATATATATATATATATATATATATACATGTTTTTTGTAATTGTAGCACCCAAAACGTATGTTCGTTGTAATAGTAGCACCCGATTTTACAAAGTGGCACCCGACTTTGGGTGCCAGTATGTTTTTAAATGGGAGTCAGCTCATTAGCGTCATCTGACATCGAAACGAAAAACTACGAAATTTCGTATTGGTGCCACTTTTACAATATATATTTCGGCTTATATTCCACTAGTTGGAAGGTGTACTCACCAGAGGGCGCCCTTGCATATACAGATTTACATACAGATATAATGGCACTACAAACTGGCACCACTATGTACTTGTATCAAACTGGCACCCGATAACTGGCAACACTGCATTCTTGGCATTTACAGAGTATTCGTATTCGCCGTGAAGTTTTTAGTTCAGTTGTAATTGTGAAAAATGTATTAATAAATTAAAAGATTAGTTCATCTAGGAATGCAACAACTTAAAAATGGAAAGATACCTATGGTTCTATTTAATTTCGTATTATCTGAAAAATCAAATTTCTTTGAAAATACTTTTTAGTTCTTCATTATAACTACATATATGCCATAAGTAGCAAATTCTAAGTTTTTGAAATACAGCCAATAACTTCTCATTCGTTTCAGAATTTCAAAGTTTACAATGAATCAGATTTAGTAGAAAATAGAAATAAAAAAACTTTACGTTTTACAAATTTCATAACAATCCGATAACTTCTAAATATTTTGCAAGACATTTACAAAGACAGAGAGAAAAGTTAAAGTAATATTTAATTTAGATAAACAAAGTTGGAAAAGAAAAAAGGTGTTATTTGTATGAAGCAAACTTCTAAAGCACACTTTGCGGAGAAAATAATTGGTTACAGTTTGAAAAAATTAATGGAAAAAGCGAATACTACCAATTTTAAAAATAAGGTATTGGAAGAAATTGAAACTGATCTGGAAAGATGAAAATGACGAAGAAGAAAATACAGAAGAAATAAAACAAAACTGCGGACCGGACTTATTAGGTTTTTGAACTAGTGACTACCCGACCTGGACCGGAGTTCAAGTTTTTGTGTGACAAAGGATATACAGTACATGCTAAAAAAAATATCTAAAATTATTTATACAAAACTTCACAATTTTAGTATGTATGTATTTGTGAGGTGGTGAAAGATGACTTTATTTTAAGAATTTCACAAAAAGTGAATATATCGTTTTGGATACAATAAAAAAAAATGGTCGAAGGTTATTTCGACAGAACTTTCCTGGTCGTTAAACTATAGTCCGACAAATCCCGCTGCATTAAAAAATTATAAAATTGATGTTGCGTTGTTAGTTTCGTGCAGTGTTTGGAAGTACTTAATAAGTAATGACTTAACGAGTAATTGTAATGCATTACTTTTCAAAAAATGTTATGAGTAATTGTAGCGAATTACTTTTTTTTTTTAGTAATTCAGTCACTTTTACAATTACTTTTACCCCAAATACTCAAAAATATTGTTTTGTTTTTCTCCACGAATCGTTTACTTGACCTGCTGGAATTATTATACCTAGTTCGTCCCCACAAATAGAAGATTAACCCAAGGAGTGAAAAT